TGCACAGCATAGCCCATGGCTTCTCTGAATTACTCAAGCCCCTCTGCCACGACAAGGCAGCAATCTGTGAAGGGGAATGTTCCTTAACCCTTACATAAACACCAGCAGGATTCTGGGCTTTGTCTGTTTCCTATTGTGAACGGAATTTCTATCAACTACTGGTGGTTACTTATCAAATTTGTCAGTTCCTTAAGTGGAAATAGTGTCTTCTGCCATAGAGTCTGGTCACTGATGAAATGAATCGGGAGAGGAATTGTTGGTTTTCAATTCAGTGTAAAATCACGTGGTCCTCATGTGACCTTTGGGTTGGTATTTGCATCCTCACTGCCGCCTTTGCTACCTCTGAGCAGGTGGGTCTGCTCAGCCAGGAAGGGGACAGTGGTGAGAGGAATGCTATCTAGCAGGGGAGAAAGATGAGAGGGAAAGGGGGGAGGGAAAGGGGGGAAGGGAAAGGGAAAAAGATAAGGGTGGGAGTGTGCATGGACAGGTGACTGAGGGGAATAGTAGGGGGAAAGGGTTTGGAGTGGGGGACATGGAAAAGAGGTTGGTTGAAGGATGGGTTGGTAGGGGGGAAGAAGGTGGTAAGGGCTGAAAGGGGGAGGAAATGAAGGCTGGGCTTGGCTGACTGGTACCAGGCTGGGAATCAGCTGTTTGGTGTGGCACCAGCTTTTTTGGCAAATGGACCATGATGCTTTTATTTTTAAAAAAGTCTAGCTATCTTAATTCTTGCTAGCATTGTATCAGACAGGAAGATTTTTTTTAAAAAAAATAACATGGATAGGGGTATTCAATATGTGGAATCAATTCCAGTGAATCAATTCCACACCTGTCTTCTACTCATCCTCTAGTGGAGGAGTAGAAAGCTCGTTGCCACTCAAAATAAAATGATCTCCTGTCACATTACTTTAAGTGCGCACATACCTTGTGTTTAGATCAAAAAATTTAAAGCAGAACCCAGTTCAACAGTAGTGTTTATTTTCATAGGGCCCAGGCCCTTACTATGGAGCAAGATCTCACAGCTTTGTGTTTTTGAAATTGATAATTGTGAAAAGTGTCAATATTTATAGAGAGTGATGGTATGACAAAATTATGTGTTAGCGCAAAAACACGGAAAACAGCAAGTTTTGCAGAGTATTGATTAGTCCATGTAGTCCAGAATAACTCACGCACACACCAGCAGCTTCTCCACCACCAACGTGTATTTACAAGATATTTACAGCAGTTCAGTCTGGCAGCATAACAGGTAGCATTATCACCAAGCAGGAAGATACATCAACTGTACAGTTTCACATATATATACATATACAGATCTGCTTGTGTCCAATCACATTATGTGTTGCATCATGCATGAGTCAGCACTGCTGAGTCATCATGACTCAATTTCTACACATCTGTTCATTATGGCTGCTCCTTAATATACTTTATTCTGATCAGACCTGTAAATTTATCCTGACATTATGTAACCAACAGAATTCTTGTCCATTCCTGGAAAATGTGCTTTTGGACTTGCCACTAACATAATATTTAGATATTTCATATACTTTAAAAAATAGATTATATCACTGAGGCAGCTGGCTCACATCTGATATGCTCTTTGTCCATTTAATGTCAGTGTGTGTCATCTGTCAAAATACTAGAATGGGAAAAGGAAGAAATGAGAAACAAAGGAGAAAATAAGAGGGGTGGCATTCTAGGGTCTTGAGTAGATGTTGAAACACATTTAGCTTCTGTAATAAACACTACGCCTGTGTTTAAATGAAATTGAACTGTACAAGGAGCAACATTCCCTCTAAGTTTCTGTCCCGCTGTGTGAGAGCCTTGATCTGTGTGCATG